GCACTCAACAAGAAGCAAGTAGAAAATAGGACTCAACTCCTAATCCCTCAAGCTGAGGTTAGACCGAACACTTACCTCGAACTTTCACGACAAACTCAAGCCTCGAACACCGCTTTTCCTTTCAAATTCGGCTCAAACCCAATCGAATCTATACATAATTGACTCAATATCATCAATAAGTGCTAAACAATCCAATTCCAACGTTCAATTATAACTTTCCAATCATTCTTCCCAAAATCCCAAAAATCGACCCCGGGCCCGCTTGGTCAAAACACGAGGTTCGAACCAAGACCCGATCACCCATTTGCCCATGAGCCCGAATGTATAATTTGTTTTCAAATTTGACCCCAAAACGAGGTCTAAATCACAAATAATCTAAAAGACCTAACTCTACCCAAATCCCTAATTTCTACCCTTAATTACATGTTTTAGGCCTAAAAATCTAGTGGGCGTTGATGAAAAATGAATAAGACAAGTTAAATATTACTTACCCAAGAGATTATGGTGAAGAGAAGCTTCAAAAATCTCCTAAGAGCTTTGGAGAAGAAGAGGTTTGTGAAATTTTTATAAAATCCCGAAAGTATTCTGTTTTTGGCCTTTTTAAATCACTAGCCGAAAATGCTCTTCGCGTTCGCGACAGACCCTTCGCGTTCGCGATGGGTCAGGCCTATAGACCTTTGTGTTCGCGTGAACGGGCTCACGTTCGCGGAGAGTCATCTCCTCGAGCCCTCGTGTTCGCGTCCAAAGGGTCGCGTTCGCGTAAGACAATTGCCCCACCCCCGCCCAGGCTCGATTGGCCTTCGCGTTCGCGTGGCCAGGACCGCGTTCGCGAAGGCATATCCCCCCAGTGCATCGTGTTCGCAACCTGAGCTACGCGTTCACGTAGAGGGAAATTCCTTCAGCAACAATTAATGCATCGCGTTCGCGTGGGTTCTCCCGCGAATGCGAAGAAGAAAACATCAGTACACCAGATCAGTTGTTTCTGCAATTTTTCTTAAGTCCAAAACTTTTCGAAATGCCTCTGAAACACACCTGAGCCCTCGGGGCTCCTAACCAAACATACGTACTAACTCAACAACTTCATAATAACTTATCCGTGCGATCAAATCTCCAAAATAACCTCAAAATCAAAGGATTTTTCTCAAACTTCGTAAAACATCAACTTTAGCAATTTAGGTCCGAATCACGTCAAACAGACTCCGTTTTCAACCAAATTTTACAGAAAAGACTTAAACCATATATAAGATCTGTACCGGGTGCCGGAACTAAAATACGGGCCCGATACTATCGCTTTCTAATTAGATTTCATTTCAAAATTCCTTAAACATTTTCAGAAAATAATTTTACTTAAAAATTCATTTCTCGGGCTTGGGACCTCGGAATTCGATTCCGGGCATACGCCCAAGTCCCATATTTTCTTATGGACCCTTCGGGACTGTCAAATCACGGGTCCGGGTTCGTTTACCCAAAATATTGACCGAAGTCAAATTTATTCATTTTAAACTCAAATTTCATCATTTTTCATAGAATTTCATATTTAAGCTTTCCGGCTAAGCGCCCGGACTGCGCACGCAAATCGAGGCGACTCTAAATGAGGTTTTCAAGGCCTCAAAAGCACAGAATGCAATTAAAACAGGTGATGACCCTTTAATTGCATAGTATATTATTACTATAAAATAATCAGATTGCCAACAGTATCTAAATCATAAATTTTGAAAACAATAAACGTGAAAAGAACAGAATTACGTGGAAATATTCACAAATTATTGTCTACTAACTTACGTAATTATTTATAATTTATTTTTAAATAATCTGATAAACATACTTATGGCAATCATCCCATGAACTGAAGTTTCATAGCAGCACCAACAACAGCAGAAGAAAGAAGAAGAAAGAAGAAGAAGAAGAAGAAGGAGGAGGAGGAGGAGGAAGATGAGGAGAAAGGAGGCTTAAGTTGTTTAAAAAGTGGGTACAAGTTAAAACTATTAAAAAAAAATGGGTATAAGTTAAATGGAGGCGACCAAATAGGATGCCCCGTGCAATTTTTACCTATTGCTGCACTTCACGCGATAATATGCTTGGTTGAAGATGGGCTAATAACAAAAGGAGTTGGAAGTTGATTCTGCAATTTTTACACTAGGTTGTAATTGCAAAGTACCACGTAGGAGGACACTATCTTGGGTTGAAAACAGAAGAGTGCAGATCGCGGGATCTTTTATATTTCTTATCTAAAATGACTGTTTTATGTAACATAATACATACGCACGCGTACAGCACAGTTAGTTTGGGTTATTCCATGATTTACCATGTCACTGTTCGAGAGGAAAAAGAAAAAGCAAACTTACCATGTCACAGCGTTAATTAATGGAGGTTTGAAAAGGTCGATAATATTGTTCAAACTTGGGATGTATTGATATAGCTGACCGGCCTGCCGGATAATATCTTTCTCGTAGTTACCAACCCAACCCAATTTTAACTTTAGCATATGGCAATTACTAATTGTGCCTTGAGCCGTAAGACCAAATAAATAATGTTTCAATTACGTTCTTCCAAAACTGTTAAGATAGCAATTCAAAATTCTTTCCGTTAAATATAAGATAATATAATGTACTTTGACTGCTTAAGTAGAAACAAAAAATAATGAAGATAGTTAATGAAATTTTGTTTGCCTAGCTAACCTTTATAAAAGACCACATTTACAGCATATATCATGTAGTATGTACTTATAAATTCTTTCTTCTTCTCTTCTCCCTCGTCCATATATATCAGTTTAGAAAAGAAAAGGTAAGGAGTAGAGATGGTGGAGAAAGGAAATAGTAGGAGCCGTGGAAGCTACAGAACGGCGGGGGTGCCAGTGTCGACGCTGCTGACCTTCTTCGCACATTTGCTGTTCATAGCAATCACAACTCTGTTGTTGGTCTGGCTGCTTCAGTTCAGAGATGGACTTTCTTTCACTTCAACCAAACTTTTCAATGTAATGCTTCTCCCTCTAGCTATTATTACATTCCTCCGTTTTATGGCGATATTTGACTGGACAAAGAATTTAATATTTTTTTTAAAAAAAACTTCCTTGACATAATAAAGTAAAATCCTTTGAACTTGTTGTTTTAAATCGTGCCATAACATTTTTGATCAATTATCATGAATCAGCTACTCAAATGTATCCTCCTTTTGGTCTTTTTTTCTCGTTTTCTCTTACTAATGATGTCAATGATCCTCATGCAGCTACATCCATTCTTTATGATCATTGGATTTGTCCTAATTTCCGGAGAAGGTACAAATTTCTGAAACAATGATGAAAAACAAATTCTAAAAATATAAGAAAATTGTAAAGAATGCCTTGGTCTCGAACTAAAATATTGAGTATATGGGGTTTACTTTGTTTCAGCTATAATGGCATTTACCACAATCCCAGCAAAAAGGAGGACAAGAAAATACTTCCACATGTTTCTGCATTCCATAGGTCTTGGTTCTAGCATTGTTGGTCTCTTTGCAATTTTCAAGTTTCAACATGATACTGGAAAATCTAACCTCCTTACTTTGCATTCCTGGATTGGCATTTCCACCGTTAGCTTATATGCCTTGCTGGTAAGAACAAATAAATAACCTGCTCAAATATAATACTATCACTGATATTCAATTAGAAAAAGTACAAAAATAATGTTAATTTTGGACAGTACATTGTTTCCTTGTTGGTATTCTTCTTCCCCGGGGCGCAAAACTGGAGAAGGGCTAGATTAGCTCCATGGCATGTTCTCTATGGAATAGCCGTCTTCTTCATGGGAATAGTAAGTGCAGAGACAGGCTTAATTCAGAAATTCATAGCCTTAGGACTTCAAAAGGGACAAGAAGCACTCATTGTCAATTTTACTGGCTTATTACTTCTTCTATTTGGGATCTCTATTGGCCTTGTTGTTCTTCTCCCTGTTTCATATTATTAGTCAAAACATACTTCCTTTTTTCTTTGTACGTTGTTGTAATTTTCACCAATTTTGTAATAATCTAGGTATCTCTATATTGAGAGGAAACCTGAATGTGGCTCTAGTGCATTATATTCTATATCGGTATACCTTATATTCTTATCCAAAATGACTGTTTTATGTGACATAATATTGGCTCGATACATGGACAACCCCTTAAACTTGTTCGAACTATTCCGTTAGGCACTTAAAGAAAGCCTATTACCTATTGAACACTTAAACAAAAAGCATGTCGATTCGGCCAATTCTGGTTATTCAATGATTTACCATATCAGTCTTTCTTTTTTCTTTTTTTGGGGGTGGGGGGTGTCACAGCAATCTGGTTTGTTATATAGTAATCTTTTTTAGCTAAGTTGAGAGTAAAGCTGGATTTCACTGCTTTCTCGCGTAACAAATAACTTCTAAGATTACTGTTCGGAATATCATATACTTGCCGCAATCATTATATCTGAGATGAGCCACAAGGCTAAACCTTAAATCGAATAATCATATTGTACATTTACAGAGGTCCTTTACCATCCTTATTAATGCTACTCAGTTCACAATGCAAGTGGCACAAGGTTCGAAACTCGGTGGATAATGAGCCAGAACCTCTACCCCTCTCCACTTGAATACCGGACTTTTGTCTGTTCGAATCCGTGATGTGCGCTTAACCCACACATCACGTCATGCACTTTTACCACTAAGACCAAAATCCCGGGGGCTAATATTGTACTACAAAGTTCATTTACCTGTCTATAGTGTACATGAGTAGCTGTAACTCTTAATTATCAAATTATTTATCTCCTATGTACAACAAATGGTGAAGGATGGAACAGCGTAGTATTGACAGTGTCTATACAGGAATTACAGCTTTGTAAGAGGCCTTGTGTTATTCCAAAGCCATTGACGTGCAGAACCATCCAGCAGAGGTGACACCTGAAAATGATTTCCAGTCATCAAATAGCAGTCTTGAGCATGAAAAAGCAACGACAATTATTCTTTGTTTTTTGGGGGGGTGTGGAAGGAAGAGGAGGAGGAAACAACTAACAACTATTCCACTTGTCTTTCCTGGACAAAGGAAACTGGGACAAAAACAACTACAGTGCCAAAAAGAGCAGTTTCTTAACTTTGATAACAAACGTCATGAATTTTACTACCTCAACCTAAGTCAATAGACAGCACAATAACAGCATATGAGGAATCATATGCCAACAGCACAGTTGACCTGCTACAATACAACAATCATAACCTGAATCTCTTATGATATACTAGATTACAGCAAAGTGGTTGCAGGATCTTGTTGGTAGTCAAGTAAGGATCTTGTTCATTCTACACAGAACATACTAAATATCATGGGAACAGAAAGAAGAACAAAAGAAATGGTTGGGATACTTACCTTCTCCCAAACTTGCGAATGGTAACTATTGAGCCACTCTACTTCAGCAACAGAGAGCAAAGATAAGTCCACCAATTTAGTCTGGATGATAAGAAGCAAAAAGTAGTCATATCACTAGAAATTATGGCAGAAGAGTGATGGAGCATAGTGCACACACTCCAGAATGAGTTGATTTGTCAATCAGTGCAGGTCACGAGAACAGAAGGGTAAACAACGGAATTCATTTATCAGTCATCTGAAGATGGCTTTGAAGTCTAAATTCGTGACTGAAGCTTATATACACTCATACATGATAGGGCATGTCAGACCTTATAATATATGAGTCTTTAGGAATGTCAAATGCATGGGATGTCATATATATCCCATAATCTCCTGCACTCTGATGTAGAGTAATAATGTCTCACTGGTTCATGTCTGTTGCATCCATTCTCAATGACAACCTCCAAGCTCTTTGAATTTATTTAATTACCTAAAGCCTGTTCCTAATTTTACAGTGGAGAAGTAGACTACAGAAGAAATAAACAGATTGACCTGCAACCTGTGCGTAATAGAAACTGTACAGTCTAGAATTGCCAAGGCCAATCTCTTTCTGTTTAACAGCAGGGTAAAATTCACTAGTAAAAGCAAAGATAGATCATTGTGAGCTACCATACCTGTATGGGAGCAAAAGTAAGCTTTTCAAATCCCAGATACCCTATTCCTCCAAAACGATTTGGTGTGTCTACTTCTTTAACGTAAAGAAGATTCTGGATAACAAGCAAGAGTAAAAATCAGATTACATAATAAAAACCAGACACAACTTTATGACGTAACCTGCATTAGGGCAAAGAAATTAAGTATGGAAGGTAAACATGATTACATTGCGAACCAAAAGTATAGTACACGGATGCCAATAGAGCACCAAACAACAGCATAACATCCTCACTGAATTCTTTCACAATCAAATCAAATGAGAATTCATGCAGAAAAGAAGCTCCACACACCGCTTATAACTTCCAAGTTTTTACAGGAAAAGTCGCAATTTTTTCTGTCATATTCCGCTTCTACCAAGATGGAGATTTTAACATCAGATTTTAATGAACTTTTTTCTTCAGCATTAAATAAGGAACTTGACCTGAAACTGTAGCAACCTATGAGCTCTCAGATACTTTTTTAAGTTCGAACAGAAAATAAGGAAGTGTATGCTTCAACTAATATACCTATGGATGTTTTAATATCAAAATTTAGCAGCTGATCTACTAAAAGATGTATAGAGAACTTCCCTAAGAGAAAAGGAAGAGAAGTTTCACTAGGAACCCATTTATCGATTCAAATAACTAAAAAAATTTAAAACATACAAGAGATACTCATGATTTAAAAACAAAAAGAAAATAGCTTTCTATTCTTTCTAGGTACGGAATATGGAGAAATGGGGAAAGTACCTCAATTCGAATGCCAAATTGATGGTCTTCATAGTAACCGGGTTCATTGCTGACAATCATTCCTCTCAATAAGGGAGTCATATTTCCAAAGCGGAAACTAATGCTATGTGGGCCTTCATGAACATTTAGTGCAGCTCCTACACCATGCCCAGTTCCTAGAGGAAATAACGAGCACGTGTAAAGGAAATACTTTGTCACTAAAACCTCCTAATAGTATAAGAACACAGAACTGAGCACACTTACCATGCCGGTAATCAAGGCCAACCTTCCATAGGGAAGACCGCGCAAATGCATCCAACACGAAACCAGGGGTATTCTCAGGGAAAACTGCTTGGTCAAGTGCTATGTGACCCTGAAAATGTTTTAATCAACTACAACGTATCTAAACAATTATAGAAGCACTTATCTAGCAATGCAACAAAACGGGGTACCACAGAATACCAAGAATACAACCTCAAGACATGTGCTTCAAAGGGTAACATTTGAAATGGAGACTTAAAAGGAATGTCATTGATGAGTTGATTTTACATGGACAAAATCAATTACCTAAGCTACCTAAGTTTTTGAGGTACTTTATAGGTTCCTTTCACTGTTTTACTACATTAGTTGATCCGTTACTCATAATTGAACCTTAAGCTCGGGGGAGTCCGAAACTATTGTATCTTTTTTTTTGAAATGGCACCCAATTTGATTCCACAATAATGTTTTCTTATGAAACCTTTATTTTGTCAAATCTGCCAATGAGGGGGAAAAAAGGAGCTTCTCTGAAATATGCTATAAACAAGATGGATTTTAACTCTATTTTCAAGAATATGCTGGAAATTATCCATAAAGAGTTGAGCTTGAAAATTGGTTATATCATAGCTCATGAAGTCTAGTTTCCATCAAATTACACGGTTCATCATTTGGACACTCCTTCCGGAAGACATGGTCAAAATACTCAAACATGCGCAAAGCTGAAGGAAGTCCATGTTGGCGTCCATCAAAGGAGATTTTCAGCAAAAATTTACAGCTATGGCACCTATGCGCAGCTGAAAAGTTTCTGGTTTACAAAAAAGTCATTTCACAATATCTATAAATAGAACAAAGTTAGGGCATAAGAGGGAGACGCTGCACCCCCAGAGAGAAAGCATTAAGCTGTTAGGTTCTTTTTTCTTGCTCCCATCTTGCAACATTTTGGATGTAACTGCAGCACTTTCTTAGTGCTGCTTTTGACATCAATACTACTTACCAATTAAAGAGAGAGAGAGAGAGAGAGAGAGGCACTAGGCGGCTCCAATTTAGGTTCTCCTTTCCCTTTATTTTCTTAATGTTTTATAATTAGATGCTTGAAATGTAAGTCTTCCGATCAGCTAAGGTTTCCTATTAGTAAGGATTTACATTGAAGTATAATCCAATTTCAGAAAACTCAACCATATAACATATGTACCATTGCTGGCAGAAAGGTATAGCTTACCTGTAGCACTCGGGTGAAACATTCTCTTTCTCTTGCAGATGGTTCACCGAAATGCACTGTCCTAGTAATGTCAGTCGTTCCATCAATATATTGGCCTCCACTGTCTAAGAGGAAGAGTTCCTTCCCATCCACAATGCTACAACTATCTGGCTCTGGCTTGTAATGAATTATAGCGCCATTGGCACCCACACCTACATATAAATTTGTAGTTATGAAAATGACCGGAAAGAATACCATCGTGTGAAAATTCTACACCTAACTAGCCGGTCATTGTTCATTTTATGCTGATTCAGACATTTTTTTCATCGATATCTCAAAATAAGTAATCTAAAATTTTACTGCACATACTCCCGTTATGTAACACTCCTCAAATTTATATAAATTTCAAGACTCGCTAAATATAGATTTTTTTTTTTTTTTAATCTTGCCTTGAGTGCACAATTTTTTTTTTCTTCTTTATGGATTTAAACCCTTGTGATTGATTTTTGAGTTACTTCCCTATTTATAAATAGTTGGATATATAATTATGGGAATATTAATAATATAATATTTCTAATTATTAAAAGTGAGTATCATTAATAATTAGTTAAGTAAAAAAAAATAACAAAAGAAAATTGGAGGGACATTCCTAAGCCCATAAAGGGCTGTTGGAAAAAGAAAGGCTTAAGGCGTTAAAAGCCTAACCTTGGACGTAAAGGAGATCCAAAGAAAGAAAGCAGTAGGAGTAAAAATTCGCACAAGGAACAGAACGCTGTTCTCTTACGCAGCAAACGCAGCAAACACAGGCAACAAAAAGAAAATCGTAGGGTTCTTTACAAACCACTAATTCTTGAACTCAGGTATATAAAATTTCCTATTGTTAATTATCCTACGGTAGTAATAGGTAAGAATTGAATAGTTAGTTCCCTTCTTTCTCGGTATCAATAGTAAATTTCATGTTGAGGTGAGAAACTTTAAAATTGATTAAAATGTATTGGTTGTTGTAGAATCGATTGTTTGACTGGTGCAATTGGACTGGGTCTACGTATTGACTCGAGAAGTTTTGAGGTGAGTTGATACAACCCTTTACTAAAGTGGTTTAACTCACAAAAGCACGCATACAAGGTGTTTGATGAATTGCTTAAAAGAGTTTATATTTACTTAATTAGAGCGAGTGAGTACCTATTAACTTAGACTTGTTCTCACAAAAGTTTAGACGATTTATTATGATATACGTGCATAAATTTTCAGATTTTTGTGTTATTCTTATATGCTATTTTCATGTTGAAAATTTATGAAGAACCAAGAATCTTTAGAAATACTTTTACATGTTTATTTCATTCTTATGCCATGCTTTACATTTAAGGATACCAGCATGAGCATGTACATGATGTTCTATGAAGAAAAGATCTAGACGAAGAAGTTTTAGAAAGAAAAGATTTTTGGGAGTATCCTTTATTCTGAGAAGGGGTCATCGACCAGGCCGAGGGTCCTGACCAAGGCGTTGACTTCCTGAAACTACTTGCGCCAAAGTAGGGAGCACACGAGCCGAGGGTCTCGTTGCTGAGAATTTACTTAGCCATGCGAAGGCATGATACATGCGCTGAGAACCATGAAGCGAGTGGCACCTCGTGGATTGGGCCTATTCGATCAGGTTGGGATCGAACCCGTGCCGATCACACGGTGACTGAAACAGAATTAAGTTAGGATAGTTGGAACTCCCAAAGTATAAAGAGAAGTATTTTTTTTATAAGAAAGAAAAAGAAAAGAATTTCTTTTAGAATATTCATAAACTGCTATTATGCAATTATTTTAGAATTATTCTTATAAGCTTAATGTTTTACATGCATTTAGAACCTTTGCTCGTAATGTATATGTTATTAAAGTTTCGGCCCCTGTTATTGAGACTCACTGAGTACAATGGATGGTACTGACGTTCTCTTTTGGGAACTTACGTTGGTCTGCGGTACAACATAGGAACTGGTTTTGCAAGCGACCAGGCTACGGGTTAGGACTTCCTTCTCTTCCAGTGTTATTGGTGAGTTCCGCTTTTGTTCGTAGAGTATTCCTTTGAGTCATCTTTATTTGGTTATTTCTTTGTTTACTTAGAAAACTGGCCAGGAAATCTCATGTCCCGAGCAGTGCGTCAGTTTATCAGTAGAGGCTTCATAGACATAGTCATTGGGTTAAGATTTAGATATTTTTGATAATAACTTAGCAGTAATTCAGTAGTTACTACGAATAAAGTTTTGGAGTTGATTTATTTAAATATTTAAATTAATCAAAAGCATTTGGTTAGAGTATTGCCGTGTTGCATATAAAGTTTGGAGTTATAATAGATTTGATAAGCAAAGATGGTTCGCTTGGTCATGTTTAGTGATCGAGTGCCGGTCCCGGCTTGTTCAGAAAATGGGTCGTGACACGTTAAGGAAAATTGAATATCACTCCATCACATAAAACTTCCATACATCTGAAAAAAGTTAAATAGGAAGAATTATACATTCTTTATGTGAGAAGGCACGAGAGAAAATATGATATATATTGATATGTTGTATGTGATGCAATACAAGAGGTGCTATTTATAACTACTCTATACAAAGGGGATACTACTCCTATTCCAATGTGGAACAATTACATAGCTATCTCTAACACTCCCCCTCAAGCCGGAGCATATAAATCATATGTACCGAGCTTGTTACATATATAATCAATGCGAGGACTAGTGAGGGACTTGGTGAAAATATCTGCAAGTTGATCATTCGATCTCACAAACTTCGTAGTAATATCTCCTGAGAGTATCTTTTCTCTGACGAAGTGACAATCAATCTCAATGTGTTTAGTTCTCTCATGAAACACCGGATTTGATGCAATATGAAGTGCAGCTTGATTATCGCACACAAGTTCCATCCGACTGATTTCACCAAATTTCAACTCCTTGAGCAATTGTTTGGTCCAGACTAGTTCACATGTTGCCATAGCCATTGCTCGGTATTCTGCTTCTGCACTAGACCGAGCAACTACATTCTGTTTCTTACTTTTCCAGGACACCAAATTTCCTCCTACTAAAACACAATATCCAGACGTAGAACGTCTATCAGAAGGTGATCCTGCCCAATCAGCATCCGAGTACCCAACGATCTGCTCATGACCTCGATCCTCAAACAGTAATCCTTTACCTGGAGCCGATTTTATATACCGGATAATGCGGACAACTGCATCCCAATGACTATCACAGGGAGAATTCATAAACTGACTTACAACACTCACAGGATAAGAAATGTCGGGCCTAGTCACTGTGAGATAATTTAATTTACCAACCAGCCGCCTATAGCTTGCAGGATCACTAAGCAGCTCCCCCTGTCCAGACAGAAGTTTAGAATTCGGATCCATCGGCGTGTCAACAGGTCTGCAACCTGTCATCCCTGTTTCCTCAAGAATGTCTAACACATATTTCCTTTGAGAAATAACAATACCTGAGCTAGATTGAGCAACCTCAATACCTAGAAAGTACTTCAATCTGCCTAGATCCTTAGTTTGAAAGTGCTGGAAGAGATGCTGCTTCAGATTAGTAATACCATCCTGATCATTGCCCGTAATAACAATATCATCAACATAGACTACCAGATAAATACATAGACTTTAAGCAGAGAGGCAATAAAACACAGAGTGATCAACTTCACTACGAGTCATGCCAAACTCCTAGATAACCGTGCTGAACTTACCAAACCAGGCTCGAGGAGACTGCTTTAGACCATAAAGTGACCGACGCAAGCGACATACAAGGCCACGAGACTCCCCCTGAGCAATAAAACCAGGTAGTTGCTCTATATAAACCTCATCCTCAAGATCACCATGAAGAAAGGCATTCTTAATGTCCAACTGATAGAGGGGCCAATGACGAACTGCAGCCATGGATAGAAAAAGGCGAACTGATGCCACTTTAGCCACTGGAGAGAAGGTATCACTGTAATCTAGCCCAAATATTTGAGTGTATCCTTTGGCAACAAGACGTGCCTTAAGTCGATCAATCTGGCCATCGGGACCAACTTTCACTGCATAAACCCAACGACAACCAACGGTAGATTTACCTGAAGGAAGAGGAACAAGCTCCCATGTACCACTTGTATGTAAAGCAGACATCTCGTCACTCATAGCCTGTCGCCATCCTGGATGAGACAATGCTTCACCTGTAGACTTAGGGATGGAAACCGAGGACAATGAAGATATAAAAGCATAATGGGGAGATGACAGACGATGATAACTCAAACCAACATAATGAGGATTAGGGTTTAGTGTGGTCCGTATACCTTTTCGAAGTGCAATCGGTGTACTAGGAGCAGGATCCGCAGTAGGAGCCGTGTCAGGCGCAGGACGAGAACCAGATGGGCCTGATGTAAGGCGCGAACGACGATGATAAGTCAAGAGTGGTGTTCTTGTGGCTGGGGAACTAGGAGGGATAACATTGGACTCCTCAAAAGTTGGTATGGGTGAAACCTCTGTGGTTGAAGGTGGAAGAGGATTACTAAACTCCTCAAAAGTCGGTATAGGTAAGACCTCAGATATGTCAGGGTGGTCAGCAGAAGTGACATCAGTTGTGAAGAAAGGTTTAGACTCGAAAAATGTGACGTCAGCTGACATAAGGTACCTATGAAGATCAGGTGAATAACAACGATATCCCTTCTGAACACGAGAATAACCAAGGAAGACACACTTGAGAGCACGAGGAGCTAACTTATCTTTCCCCGGGGCTAAGTTATGAACAAAACATGTGCTCCCAAAAACCCGAGGTGGAAGAGGGTATAAGGCTGACTGGGGAAACAATATTAAATGTGGAATCTAACCCTTGATGGGAGATGAAGGCATTCTATTAATCAAATAACAAGCTGTGAGAACTGCATCGCCCCAAAAACGTAGCGGAACACGAGACTCAATTCGAAGTGTGCGAGCAGTCTCAATAAGGTGCCTATTCTTTCTTTCTGCAACCCCATTTTGCTGAGGGGTATAAGGACAAGATGGCTGATGAATAATTCCATGAGAAGACATAAACTGCTGAAACTGAGAAGATACATATTCTAAGGCATTATCACTGCGAAAAATGCGGATAGAGACACCAAATTGGTTTTTGATTTCAACACAAAAACTCCGGAATATAGAGAATAACTCAGAACGATCTTTCATTAAGAAAAGCCAAGTACATCTTGAGTAATCATCAATAAAGCTAACAAAATAACGAAATCCCAAGGTTGAACTGACTCTACTAGGACCCCATATAT